ATATAAAAATATATACCATACTTTCTCTACATTCAACGTAAAACCCAAGAATGCAATAATATTTCAGGTGCCCCTATAGAAAAAAATGAACTCATTTGTCGCAGCGCTCTTTTGAGACACTCCATATGAATAAATCTTAAACTATTGAATAGATTGAATCAATCCCCACAGCTTATGCATTCAACAGTTTTTGTAATACGTAAAATAAAGAAGTTACAAGAAGGGCGACCCCTACTATATACATATTACTTATATGAGACATTTAATAAATTTGTGTTATCGAGATTGAGTAAATTGACGAATGACTGAGTGACAATGACAAACTATCAATAAACGCCTTGAATGAAGGTAGCAGACAAATTGTTCATACAGATTGTCCAGAAATTACACTCAATACCTACTATAGTGATTTTAAAAATGGAAAAAATGATCTAGTAATTGATCTAGAACTTTCACTCCAATCAGAAAAGAATATCAATATGCCGGGTGATTGATTAGTGTGATAAAGTGCAGTATCTCCTATGTCGTTTGAGATATCAAATTGTCAATTTGAGAGATTTTAGCAATGGATAGTCTTGATGTCTTGAATCATTCACAGTATTACAGAGTGACAGGACACTGTTCTGAATCAAAGTAATATTTTTGTGAATATAGGAGATAAGAGAAACTGAACTTCATCAAACTAATCAATCACCCTGTACTCCAAATTTATCTGCACGGTCTATCGAAGCCTAAGTATTATACTAAAAAATTAGAATTTCCGGAAGTAGATAATCGCGTTTCAAGATAATAGCGCATGCTGATGAGAATTAGTTCTTATTTCATCAATAGAAATACCATCGAATCTAGAGATACTCTAGCGATGTGAATATTAGCCCGAAATCATAGAAATATTCAGAGATACACCTGACAATCTCGTACCACAAACCACAATGAGAAATAAGTTATTGAAACAGCGGGCGGTTGTAATAGATATTAGTCCGGGTGCATACACCGAATTTTTAAAGGGATTTTCACAAGAGTCGTTACCAATTTATTGGGCATCACTGTACCTATACGTCGTATACAAAAATTCAATCAACCCATCTAAAACTTCTTTTGGTTTCATCTCCAGTGCTAAAATTTTCTGAATAGCTTCAGTGCTACTTTTTATGAATGAATTCACTATTCATTCAATCATTCATAGTATCCATGTAGAAGTGCATATTCGTGTGAGGGCGCTCGTATCAGTGAAGAAAAATGATCCAAAATTGCGTCTGCAGAGGTCCAGCAAAAATCACTTTTGATGGTGATATTTTGAATGGATCCTTGCGAATTTTTTTGACAACGAAGATAAATGTATAAGTGAGGCATCTCTCGAAGTACTTTTCGAAAAAAATATATACCTAGAGAGAAAAAAAATAGTGAATCTGGTCAATTTTCTGGAATTTTTTTCGACTATTTTTTTTCAAAAATTTGAAAAAGTACTCCGAGAGATGCCTAGATCCAACCTTCTAGAAACGATCCGTGAAAAAAAATCTTGAATTTATTTAGCGAGCTTCGAGTATTTTGATTTCTGCCGTTCCTTGTTTCCCCAATGATCGCTCATAGGGTTAAACCCCTCTTAAGCTTTTAGTAATTTCGGTCTGAGGACTATACCTTCGTTTCTGGAGCCAAGGGTCAGGAGATCGAATAACTGGCAAAGCAGAAATTCTCAATATTTCAATGGATACAAAACGCGGTATGGATTCCAAAGTTCGTAGACTCAAAGAGATATCAATCAATAGTGGTGCTTCATATTGTGCGGGGTATGAAGTCAAGTAACGAAGCCTACACATAACAAACTGGGACAGAATAAAGACCTATCGTGAGGTCGATATCCAGTAAGTGTGTGTACATGGTGTGTATACAGTGCATCCCATTTTGATGACTGCCAGGTTTCTCGGTTGTTATTGAAGATAGAGCCTTGCGATTTTCACATTCCTTTCCTATTTTTTTGTGGAACTTATCCCAATCAGATTCTGCATAACTGTTTTCGTTCATGCTGATGTTAGTTTGAATATTCATACTCCTTTATCTAAATCTACGAAGTTATAAGGAATAATGTTGCGTTGAGAAATATGATCAGCAGAGAATTTCGCGCAGAATCCAGTGGGGTACTCAAAATGTTTTTCGAGGTTAGGATTTGGAGATAGTTTGTGTCAACTTGTACTTTTTTTTTAATAAAACGCCCTTTATTCCAGTATTTCGTTGAATTCATTATTTTTTTCCCTTCTAACTTTATACATAGGATCTCTAGAAATGTTAAAAATTACTAAAACATTAAATTATTATGAAATTCTGCTGATGGGCTGGGGGATTTTTAGATGAATAAAGTATAAATTGAAGGATACTCCTTTACGATGTTTCCATAAAGAGATAAGGCGAAAAAAAAAAATACTAACACTAATTAACAAATGAATAATAATCTTTGGTACGCTTTTTTTCGATAATTTTTCAGTCGGAAGTTGGTATCGTTCTGTGCTTGCTGTGAACAACGTATATAAATTCTGAACGAAATCGAAGAATTGAACAGCCGATTAACAAGACTGAGCAGGTGCCCCTCCCAACTGAATTGAGAGAATGACCACAATATGGAATGCAAACGTCGATAAAAATACGGATACATTTCTTTATTTGAGATAAAAATATATTATTATGTTTGTACAAAGTACCTACTGTAGGTAAAACAGCGAAACACATTTTTTCATGAAGAATATCACAGGAAAAGTTTTTTCTAGTGATTACTCTTCGGAATTTATATTTTAATTTTTTTTTCAAATTTTGATGTCTCTATTGTGGGGGCCCCTTTTTTGTGGAGGCCTCGGGGCTGTAGCCTCGAATGCCTTCCCCTAGATCTGGCACTTCTAAGGATGGGCAACAATATACACCCATTTGGGGTTGCGGTGGAGGAGAATAATTCGCCACACTCACATGGGCGGATTAAATGTCGACAGCACCCTAGGCAAACATCTAATCGGCGCCCCTCTCGTGGTCATCAGACATCATGAATTATAACTAGCAATATATCCCGGGAAAAGTCTCGATATTTTGCTTCGCGTTTTGAAGATACCGAAAAAATTTGAACGAAAAAGTTGCTTAAGAATCGATTTTGACCCTATACATAACGAATTTCAACGCAAAACTCGAATTTAGAATTTCGAGAGATAGGCTAGTGTAGGAGACTCAATTCGGTTAACTTACATTATTTGAGGAAATAATAATGTTCAATGTTAGTAATTTGAATCATTTATACTATTGATTCTGACCATTTCACCATTTCTGTATACTTTCTATTCAGAACTATCAATCGAAAATAGGACGAATATAAAAATCACAAAAAATTCAAAATTCGAATTTTTCATTGACTCTTGGTATACGGGGTCAAAATCGGTGTCTAAGCAACTTTTCCAAGTAACTTTTTTAGGTATCTCCAACGCGAAGCAAGATATCGAGAATTTGCCCTTTTCGCGGGATTGCCAGTAGGCTGGGTTTGAGCAAAGCCTGCATAGAGTAGGGCTCTGGTTTGAGGCTAACACTCGGGCTGAGTATTGCGAAAAGTGTAGCCCATAAAGACCACCGTCTGTACCAAAAATAAAATCTCTGCTTTCAAAAATGACTGAAATACAGGGGTGTTGAGGGTGAAGAAACTAAAAGTAGTTATTGTGAATATCGTATGAACAATAATTGCAGATGATAGGTTTTTACAATTAATTATTTACGTGGGATTTAATAGTCCATATATCAAAATAATAATATTATGAGTACAATTATTTATTATATTTCTAACCGGGATATTATAAACATAGTATAAAGAGTCTTTATACAATTGTTATAAGCTTATATAGTCATAGAATGGTCATAGTTACGCTATCAAATCTCAAATCTCCTATAATTAACGGTATACCTGATTCAAATAATATAGCGGGAAGGTAATTAATGAAATCGGTCAGAAATAAAATTATGTATCACGGGAATTATTGAGCCGTAAGGCAATTGCAATTGAAGACCTCGGTGCAACAACTGGGCAACTCCAATTTTTTAAAATGTTGGAGAATGGGAAGAAACTTAATATTTTTGAGATACTTGAAAAAAATTATGCTGAATGGTATGAATCCTCTAGAGTTACGTTAGATAAGCTGTATAAACTTAGGAGATGCCTGTTTCTTGCCCCAACAAGACAAAATTCTGAAAATATAGTCGAACTCGTGTAATAATTTGTAATATATAACGAAAAATATTGTAAACAAATAGTATTTTGAACATAGGAAGTATCGCTGACGTTTCCTGCGTCTTGATCTTCGTGGAATCATTGCCAGAATTTGGGTCCACTTCATCAACAGTTATGTTTTTGGAACATATTAACTCCCCGAATCTTGAAAGGGCTCACTTCCACTTTCCGACGACATTACATTGTATTGCATGAAACAAATGATCAAACTAATCACGCCACACACGATGAAAGACGCGGGAAGGCTTGCCGCTAATAACCTCACTCCTACATCTCCCACTACACGCGTACATTTCGGTCCTGGAGTTGCCCGATTCTAGCACCGTCATGGCTTACATACCAGTGCTAAAATCGGGTAACTCCTGGAGTTGCCCGACTCTTGCATGTCAATGGCTCATCAGGTAAATTCTTTCAATAGGAAGTTGTTGGATACGCTTGATTCTTGCACCAAGAGATGCGCAAGAAAAAAATCCATATGTAAAATACAATAACCCAATTTCGGCATAGAATGAAATTACCCGGTTCTTGCACCGAGGTCTTCAATTGCTGTCCCTCGGGCCAGACGCAAGACCCAAACTTTGCCATCGGTAATTGAGGCGATTATAATTACCTCCATACATGAATAACTATAAAATTGGTACCAACATTTCCGAAGACGACGCGCCCCTTTAATCTCTTGCCCCCAGGAACGTGCCTACTTTGCCTTAGGGATAATCCGCCTTTGCGCATGCGGAACCTAACCCAAACAAACCTAACTCCGAAAATTACCTTTATTTTTCTTGGGAGTTCTCAAAGTGGCCCAAATGTAGGTCTTCGTCTTGATCCCCTCGCCACCGAAAATATCGATATCACTGGCGAACTTATTCTTCTTTTTCCCTTTCACCCCCATCCTGTTATTGTTCACGTCTACCACACTAGCACTGAAGAAGGACGACAACCTGTGGAGAGGGCCCATGAACGCAACCTTGGGGCACTTCGCGCGCGATACTGCTAACCGGGCGACCGAACATAGACTGCTCGTCACAATCGACGGTCGCCACGCGTGTCGGAACGCCGACACTCGATGGTACTTTCTTCTTGATAGTACTACAGAACTGTTAGAGTAGTAGAGGTACCGTACTGTTGCGATTGCTTTCTATAATCGCCAGTATCTTAGTCACCTACACACAATCTGTTTTGGCGTTTATATGTTTTTCCACTTCTAGCCCTAGACCGTTACTCACTGTTTTTCAAGACGTGAACCAGCATTTCAATGGGATTTCCATAATTTCTTCGACCCTTCGCTTTCCAAACTTATCAGAATCAACTCCGACAAAAGACAATGCATTCGACAAATGACAGTTAATTTGTAATTTTTTTTTATCTCTTGGTACTTTCTACTTGTTTCAGCTCACATTTGTATGGAATTTCTGATTGATCAACCTTAATAATTTATAATTATTTAGGAAAAATTGAAATAGTAGGTAAGTATGTACATACATAAATCTTAATTCAGATCGATTCTATATTCTTTCGTGAACATCTACACACTTTTGGTTCTGAATTTGTTTCTCTGGGTCCTAAAGTTATGACTTCGCACTAGTGTTATTTGCACACAACTCAAGTACATTCGTCTTCAGTGAACATGTTGCGGTTGGATGGTATGAGCGCTCTTATTGCAGCATTGATTAAGAGAGCTGACATCGTCCATGTGCGATATTTTCTCTGAAGACGAGTGTACAGTTGTTTTCAGAGAACATGACGCACATGGACGGTGCAATATGCAATATATAAGAGCGCTCATACAGTCCAACCGCGACATGTTCACTGTAGACGAGTGTACATATTCGCTTCCTGAGCACTCCAGAGCACTCTCCTATAAGAATACTGTGATGATTTCAGAATCTTAAGTGAGGCTATCGCTGCGTTCTCCAGATATTTTTTTTATCGCTTGGAGCGCACGAAAGGGAATCCCTATAATGTTCAACGAACATCGTGCGTTCCTAGGGAGGATAGGGATAGGATTTGTGGTTTATGGATCTGAACCGAAATCGAACCATGCACATAGGATTCAAGTTTTCAGAGAATCAGTTTGGACTTATTTACACAATTCTGTATTCTCAAGAGGTCATTGTGGAATGAAACAATGTCCGTACACTAAGAACATCACAAAGAAAGTGAGAAATACTGCCTGGATTCAAGTCTTACAACTTCCCGTTCACAACTTGACCCAAGACTTGACCTTGGTGAAAATCGAACGGTTTTTGTAAAATGAACAGTTCAATAACTAATTCACTCTTTATTCGAACATTATTTTCGAAGAATTTTTTATACAATGAACAGAATTTGGTTTTCATGTCACACTTGAAATACCATGGAATCTCTATAGAAGAAGTACGGAATTTCTTGATTCTCTATATATCTTAAAGCGGAATTAGCGCAGTTGCAATAGCTTGGTCCCGAGCTTGGTCCATAGACACTATAGAGCTAGGTTCGATATCCAGTAACGACAAAATTGTTTGAATTCAAAATGCTAATTTTGAGTAAGAATTAACAGTGCTAAGGTGACGTATGGAGTAAGTGTCAAAACCCAAACATATATATCTTGTATAAGGTCGATGATCATATGATGCAAAACTAGACTACCAATTGGGACATCAGGTAATAGCCCGGACTTTCAGCTAATCAAACTCAGATTTCAGAGGCCCATTTAATCATCCAAGAAGAAATGATTGTTTTCATTAAGAATAACAAAGATGTGCAACTGCAAATTGCAAACTTCTAATGAACGGTCTTCATGGATCATCCTGTATGTCTTTGAGAACAAGAATGTTACAGGAGCGAGTCATCTCTCTGGGACACCCCGAGGAGGTAGGTAAAGGTTCTATATATCCAACTGTTATCAGTGTGATTTGCCCTCAGGTCTGCCCAATCTTTCCAGACGACTTGAAACCATAATTGATATCGAATCAATTTTAATTATCATAATTAGCTTTCTAGTCAATTAGACGAATGACTTGCAGATACGAAACGAGTGGATCGTTCACCGAAAAAAAAACACAATATATCCATCTTGATTCTGTTATTGTTATTATGAAACGTTGATGACCTGAATATTCCATGACGGTAATCAGACCAAGACATTAGGTTTGAAAAAAAAAAACAATGGAGACAACGAAATCATTTGCAATCCATGTTTGTGTATGACAACAATTTCAATATTGATTCGGTTCTAATTTTGCAACCATCATTTTTGTTGAACCAATACCCAGGTTGTTGATGAGGATGTTTTTATTCCGTTATAATTCGTGTTTGTATATATAGTCCAAGAGCCGGCTGCGAATGTCGACCGTCATCTGACAAGGTAATGATATACAGTGTCATTCATAAAGTCGGCATCAAATGGGAAAAACTTTTATTAATGACTTATTTTGAAATTCGAGTTGGACGTCAAGTTTTGCTTCAAACAAGATGAAAAATGGCCTACTCATCGACTTTCGCTACATGTCAAAAGTGAAATTTTTTCAAATTAATCGCTGAAAGTAGGCTTATTTGTTCGAATATCGAAAAAGTTTACTTGAAAAAGTTGTTTCCATTTCAATTTTACACATGTTGCTCGAATTTGATCTTTTTATTGCAACTTTTAGATTTTGATTTTTTTTCAATTCTTCGAAATTACTGTAATATTTGAAGAATTGTTAATTCCACGAAACTACTTCATACCAGTAGCTTTTTCATGCTACTTACTTTCAATTACTTATTATCACTGATTATGGACAGAAATATAATTTTCTTCAGAAAATGATAATACCCGCTTCCAAATTCTGTTATGTTTGATGCAAAGTTGATATATCGTCAAGCATTTAGAAACGAAATTCATTTAAACTGATCTTTTCAGTACTGAAAGAATAAATTTAAATGAATTTTGTTTCTGTACGCTTGACTCGAACATAACAGAATTTTGATGTTATGTTTGCATCAAACATAACAGAATTTTGAAGCGGAGATTATCATTTTCTGAAGAAAATCATATTTTTGTCGATAATTAATGATAATTAGTAATTGAAAGTTAGTAGCATGATGAAGCTACTGGTATGAAGTAGTTTTATCGAATTTACAATTCTTTTAATATTACAGAAATCTCGAAAATTTTTAAAAAATATCGAAATCTAAAAAATGTAATAGAAAGATGAAATCCTAGTCACATATGTAATATTGAAACAAACAACTTTTTCAAGTAAACTTTTTCGATATTCGAACAAAAAAGCCTACTTTCAGCGATTAATTTGAAAAAATGTCACTTTTGACATGTAGCGAAAGTCACGTGACCCCGATTGAGTAGGCCATTTTTCATCTTTTTTTGAAGCAAAACTTAACGTCCAACTCGAATTCCAAAATAAGTCATTAATAAAAGTTTTTCCCGTATGATGCCGACTTTATGAATGACACTGTATATGTTCTAAAAACATTGGATCGAAAGGCACCTGTGCTATTCACCATCCTGAGCAAAATGATTGAAAACATGCACTTTCACGGGCGGAAATTTGCACTCGATTTAGCGATTCGATAACGAGATGAGAATTATGTCAACCGATACCAATTCAATGGTAGATTTCGAAAACCTTCCTGTGCCAAACCTCAGTCTGAGTCAAATCCTCGGCACAACGATTCATTTGCTACTATTATTCCAGACATATGTCCGTCATATGATAACGAGTTGAAACAAGAAGCAGATAAAAGGAGATGATGTCGCCTTTGCGAATATCCAAACATGCCGCGATTCAAACTGATCTAGGTTAGTGGCAGAGCGTCAATACTTCCCCCTCTAAAGATAATATTCGATGGACCAGTGTTAAACTCAACATGTGGATCAGAGTACTCGTAGTTTGAGCACCAATGTCACCGTGTTTCACACTGGTCCATCGGATATCATCTTTCAACGATGGAGAAATATTCACGGAAATATTGACGCTCTGCCACTAACGTGGATCAGTTTGAATCGCTACACGTTTTAATATTCGCAAAAGGGTAATTTTTACCTTTCATTTGCTTCTTGTTACAACTCGTTATCACATGACAGAAGTATGTCCGGAATAATAGGAGCCAATCTATCGCGGTGCCGTGGATTTGGCTCAGACTGAGGGGTGGCACAGGTAGGTTTTTGAGATCTACCATTAAATTGGTATCGGATGGCATAATTCTTATCTCGTTATCAAATCGCGAAATCGAGTGCAAATTTCCGCACAGGAAAGTGCTATTTTTCATCATTTTGCTCAGGAGAGTGAGGGCCGGTTTATCAATTACAATTTATCTGTCAGTTAAAGCTCAACTACCAGTTTTTTTGGAAAGGTCGGTTTATCTACACCAGGGTAACTTTATCCGGCAGTTGAAATGTCAAATATTTATCTGTAAGTTTTAACTGGCGGATAGTCGATATCTGGAGGTTAATGCCTATACATAACCTCACTTTATTGAGTTGTTTTGATTTCCTAGCTTTCTGGTGTGACAAAAAAGTTAAAAATGGAGAGTACTAGTAGTTCTACAAAGAAAAGAGGATGCAATTTCACAGCAGAGGAGAAACATTTGCTGATTAAAATAGCGAATCAATACAAACGTGTGATTGAAAATAAAAAAACAGATGGGGCAACCTGGAAATCGAAAGAGGAGGCTTGGGTGCAGGTTGAAGCAGCCTTTAATAGCTGCAGTAGTGGCACTGTAAGAAAGGTTCAGTTTTCTTTAAAGTACATAATAAGTAGTTGATTTTTTGTAGCCTCGTAACTCCAAGCAGCTAAGGATGAAATATGAATCTATAAAAAAAGATATGAGGAAAAAATGCGCCACAAACAAAACTTACCTCAGAGGAACTGGAGGAGGAAGATATGTCCCTCCTCCTCAACCACCAAATGAAGAGGAAAAACCAAAAACTCATAAAACAGAAAACCTGGAAAACAATCAACAATAACCTTACAAAACGGT